TAGTCAAGGTGTCGTAGCCTCCTCTATTGTATGTTTTTCAGAAACATGAATTATGTCAAGTTGCTTAAGAAATGCCTTTTGATTTTCTAATCCTTCATGAGATTCAAAACTGGCGCTTTATTTAAATCTCAGATAATTCAGTGGATTTGCGCTGTTTCTTCCTGATGATTCAGCTTTCGTTTTCATAGCTTGCAACTGTCAAGCGACGGTGGATTTAGCATATCTTAGATCACTGAATTCTCTTTCAAGACAACCGATTCTGAATGTGTTGTTAAAATTCACTGATGCACTATATGTGCTAATTGCCCCTTGTCAATTTGTTTATTATTTTATTCAGATTGTAATTTTATTGTTGCCATTACTAATATCAGCGTTGTTTTCTTATATTGCCCTTCTATGTTCATTCACTGGGTAAATTCCTTCGAAATCATTTGGTTGTAAGTTGCATAAGATAACAGATAATTGCGATACAACAGTCACAATTAATTAGTCAGAACGAAAAGATTTTCTTTAACCATATCTCTCGTGCGGAAATAATTCATTTCACTTTGCTGCGGTGCAATGGACGAGAAACGAGTAGAAAGTCGCTGTTTTGTAAACAACACGGATAGCATGATGTTCTGGCGTGAATGGCTTGTTGGTACAGTAATGCTGTACGATTCAAGCTGCTCATAGTGATGCAATTCGATTTGAATTACCTGATGGCTGCGTTTGTAGGGTGATAATCACAACAATGTCCGAAGTCTACTGTTGTTATATGAAAATGTACGATATCATTTTTTGTTCATAATATTTTGTAATTGCCGAGTTCATTTCCATTTCATTCCATTCCCGTTATCAGCTACCGGAATATGCTACCCGTCGTGCACTCGCAAACACTTTTCAATTTTACGACGCCAATTATCGAGTCTGCCGCTGCCAATAACGAAACGAGCATCAAAGCAACATGTTACAAGGTAGGCGTTTTCCACTGTCTTTAAAGACCAAGTTTGGACTGGAACGGTGTCGTCTATTCGCTTCGTCAATAGGTGGCTGTGTTTTCCTTTATTGCTATCTACACGGAGCTGCCTGCTGCCTTTACAAACACCTGCTTGGAAGAGTACAGTATATCTGGACCTGCCTGATTGACCATGTGCTCGATTTGATGAGCAATGCAAAACATTTATTCCTACAATAGTGCATGGAACAACCACAACTGCATGTATTCACGCCGATGATTTGATAAATACAAGCTTGAACATAGCTGTTACGAAAACTCCAAAAATAACTCATGAGTTTGTAGGTGGTGAAGCAACAATTCTGCGGAATCATGAATTGTCGTCGACTGAATGCCCCAAATAGATTTTGGAACTGCAAACATGATTATTTTCTGTTTCATGTTCATGATTCAATTTAAAGTTTAATTATGGCTTGATATTTTCCAGTAGACTTGGCTAGATTGAGATTCCACTTGCGAAATTACCTGCATTATTCATTTAGACGTTACATATCAAATATTCATGGAAAATAGTAAAGCTGAAAACTTGAACATTTTATTTTATTTAATGAAATGCTTTAGTTATGCTTCTTATAACTTTTGCACGGTGTTCTAATTCTTTCACGTGTATAGCATTTTACTGTGTAGACGTTACAGTGCAAATCGACAAGATCATCGACATCTGGATTCGTCATTGGGCAAGAGTTTGTGAGCGAAATTCGTTGCGCTCTTCTTTGATCATTACTTTTTCAGCAAAGTAAAATACAAATAATAAAGCAATGTAGAAGATTGCTTTCATCTTATGTTCTGCCGCCTGCAAGAACTGTATATCCTTCTTCTGATAGCCTAGTCATGTCTGATGCTGCCAGATGTTCAGATGTTAAACTCTTCTTTCTTCCTGCATCTCTGTTTGCCAAACTAATTTCCCATTTTCATTGCAGTTTGTAAAAGTTCCAAAAACGACAGTGATCTTGATGAACTAAGTGAAACAATATACATTTTGATTTTCGGAAGTTAGTGAATCAAAATAGAAATCCATAAACATACATCAAGATCGAACTAATCAAATATGAGAAGCGCTATACAGAAAACTCGACAAGCTCATATGGTTGCGCAAAGCAGAGACGGTGGGCTAACGCGGTGGATCACCGTAGCGCAAAATTGCATCAAACGGGTTTTAGACCTGACTCGATAACACAATAAAATAAAACAAAAGAATGAACAGAAAGAAGTTTCAAAGTTATCACATGGAGATAAGGGCAGGAAAGAGATCGATGGTTCGGTTTGTCTAGCGTAGCAACTTTTGCAATGTTGCGATACGTGAGGCATTGTCCACTTTCAGATCATTACAACGTTTCAATTTGACAGTTTCTTTCAAGGCCATTGCTGCAAAAAATGAAATGCAGCCAGAGCGAACAAAGAGGCGCTCACCACATAAACTCAGATGGAAACCGTTTAGAAATATGAATTGCTTGATTTTATTTTTCCTTATTATTTATTCAGTGCATTTCAGAATCAGGATCTGTGTTTAATCTTGATGAAAAGCGGCAACGATCTGACATTTTAACGCTATAAACCACGTTTAGAATAGGCCGAACGAGGTTGCCCTTGCGCACTGCCTAAAGACGGCATTTTACTTCGCACCAATTTCCTGGCTTCTGTATGACGGCACACTGGAGATTCTGCTCGCCAAGAAGTGATTAGCGTACTTTCGTACGTTGAAAGAAGAACCTGCATGATAGTTCTCTGCATAGTGAAAAGCGCTAAAGATCATCTGAAAAATCATCAAAACAAGCCATTAATGGTGAAGAATCTCAATTAAACGTTTCTTGTACAGCTCAAAAAGCAAAAGCTGAAGACTAGGCTGCATTTAAAGCAAAGGATTGTATATGAAGAACTGACATCATACGCCTCATATCCTACAAATATGTGACACTCTGATGATAAGAAAAAATCTCAGTACAATGGAATATAAGAATACAAGACAGGATTTGACAGAGCAAACTGTACCGTTTGGAAACAGAATAGAATAAAATTGATTTGGTAATTCGCAGCGTCAAGAGAATTGCCCCATAAGGGATTCATTGGAAAATGACGTTTGGGAGTAATCGCGGTTGACCACCGATAACTTTCAAGACTAGGAAATAGACTTGGATCTGTAGCTCAGCATGGCTGATGCTGCGAAACCACAATAAATTCTATCATTCCACTAATGACCATGCATATGCCAATTCGCGTTTATTACCACTCAATTTATCAACATATTTCCCTTGTAGAATTTCTTCACTATCATAATTTTTCGTGAACAAAAAATTGATCTGTTCCATTTAAGCTTCGTCATCTTCCATCTTCCATTGCCGTTTTTCATTTCGGGTCGCGGAGGCAGAGACGTCAGACAGAGTTTCCAACGTTCCCGATTTTCTGCCACAGTCTGAGCATCGGCAGAAGACAACTGGAGTCTGGAAGAGACTCCCTCCATATATTTGCACCAGATTAATCTTGGCCGTCTCCTGGACCTTCTGCGGGTCGGTTTCACAAGAAAGAGTTGTCTAGCCTTCATTTCTGAAAGCATTTAAGCCTCATCATTTAAATTTTAAACACGGTGGGAAGGTTCGCCAAATCTAACCATCAAACTGGTGGTTTATCACGTTGGAATGCAAGCCAGATCTTGCCTGTTTCAGATTTTCTCGGATTCAACAGTAGCCGAACATTTTTTGATTTCGTCCTAGCCTGCCCATAGAGCAAAATAAAATACAGATTTAAATAGGGTATGTAACTGTGATCCCTAATTTAAACTTAGTGCCCAAACCAACCAGAGACTGCCTGCGAAGTTTAACCTTTCATGTAGTAGATAGTGGATAATAAAAGAAAATAAATTTCGAAGTAAGTGCTGAAGATCCTAATAATTGAATGCATGACGTTATTATATTCAGTTGATGTAATGCAACTACAAATGCTGATTGAATTTATTTGTCGTAGATAATTAATCAGTACCTGATGATCTAATATTTGTGGTCGGTACTTGAGTGAACTTCCAACGAATCGCCCTTCTTTATGTCGTTTCATGTTTAATGTAAAATGATGTATTGTTTTTGTACTCCGCGTTTTACACGTTCATTCAAATTTCATTAAATAAAATAGGAGCTATATTCTTTAGGCTGTTTCTGACATTGTATGCTTTTATAATATTTAATGGATCAATTTTATGAATTTTCCAGTGGCGTATCGTATGATGGTTTTTGATCAGCCTATATGAGTGGACGTATGGTAAGTTTTGGCACAGCGTCTTGGGTGTCTGTTTCGAACTCCGGAGGTTCCTGGAGAGTAATATCTGTTTAATTAACGAATTTCCTTGAGCAAGAAATTTGCGGCTCGGTTTCAGAGCGAGGTTGCGCATATAGGCCGTCAGACTCAGAATCGATAGATTCCGAGTTGATAACCTGATCGAGTTCACTCCTTCTCCTTCCTTCCGCGATTGATAAACGAGTATCCCTCTGTGAAAAGGAAACTGGTAACTGCGTACTACGCTTGTTTCATGGCTGTAGACTGCCTTTAATGATAGAGCACTCCATGGCGATCGAGTAGAAACAGATCAGCGTCACCATTCATTTCATGGAAAGAAGGGCGCCAAAATCATCCAGTTATGGAAGTAAAAGAAGGCTGACATTCCAACACTAATTCTCCTTTTCTGCGAAGGGTAGCGAAATTGATTTCGATCGCAGTTCCGATATATGATCTTTTGCCTTCATCACGAATAACTGAAACTTTGCAACATGAGACGTTTTGATGAATGTCCGTAAGAGAGAGCTGGCAGCATTCATGCGTATTTCCCCAATAGTCGATTGTTTTACGCTATGTTAATAAACTGTACTCTGGTCGTAAACTGATCCTTAAAAGCTGCTAATAAGTGTTCGCATTACCCCTTGAGACACGACTGTAGGTAAATTTTTCTATCGAATCCTTTTTTGAGTAGCGTCTTACTGTTACAATGTTTGTGTAATATATGGCCTTTTAGTAAATTAAAATGGGGAGGCGAATTCGCGCCCAGCGTAAAGGTTCCGGAACAGTTTTCAGGGCCCACACTACACACAGAAAGGAGGCTCCTCGTCTACGTGCTATCGATTATGCCGAAAGACGAGGCTATCTGCGAGGAGTTGTAAAGGTAAAAGTAATGTTCTGTGGAAAGTAAATAA